TGTGCTGCATGGTGGTTTCATTTAATCTTGCCTTGGTTATGCTGGCCTTAAAAGAGTTATAAAAGGCAACATCATCAAGAGCAGATGAGCATCACTCTAAATATTCAGCTTGTTGGCTCCATCTTCATCATCCAACAATGACAAATCCCTGAAAAAGTAAGTGAGTTCTATATAGAGCACAGAACACCCAGCCGGCTGCTGATGATCTCGAAAACAAGAAATCCAGGATTCGAACATGACCCCTTTTATTCTCTCTTCCTTCTTATTCCAAGATCTGCTACATGTGACTTAACGAAGCGAGTGTATTCCGAATGGATCAGGATCCGCTTCATCAACCAACGCTGCTCATCAAGTCCTCGGAATTTCGTCCAACAGCCAAAAGTATCAGACTTCTCTTGAGGACGTGCCAAAAAAAGAGCCTGCTATTTTTCTCAGAAGGATGGCAAAGGGTATGGATTTGTTCGGCGGAAGGAAGTTGTACATAGGCGGGGAGAGGCAGCAGTTGAAATCCAATTGATTTACGACAGTGACGTGAAGGGCGAAAAAGGAACCATGCTCTTACATGGGGGAGGACCATAGGAATACCTGAAGCTGACGGGATCGGGAATCGCACACTATCCCGGCGTCCTGAAGGGGCGGATTGTTTTCCGCGAAGAGCCGCGTATATCCGGATGGGTGTGGTACGTCNTAAAGTTTTGATTTTGCTATCTGGTGTATGTTTCAAAGCTGTGATTCAAACTCAGCAATTCGCATTTTTGTGGACACTTTTTGATCTTGTTCTCACATAAAGGGACAAAGTTAATAGTAATCAGACAACTGATTTTTGCAACCAATAATTGCTCAAGTCTTTACAATATTATCAAGCCCTGAGACATTCCTGGCAAATGGAAACCAGTCAATCTTCATCAGCTTTTAGCAATAAATATCAATCCTATATAGGTTCTCAAAACTGTGCAAAGTCCCAGAAGCCAATTCATTTTCTCTGAAGGTATGGCAATGGCATCTACAACAAACTTTCAATCCAAGCAGTACTGTATATGAAAGTTGTGCCCTCTGCTGAAGAACTAAATAGGCCAAGGTTATCACCCCATGATTATGTTTATGTTCTTTAAAAAGTCGAAAAAGTCTTTGAATTTCTATAAAATCGATCTTCAAAGCTGTTACGTATGTTAAGCTGCGACCAGCAGAATCTCTGGAATAACATGAAGTCATAATCCCTCATAATTTCTTATGACTCCAAATTAGGAAGATTATCAGAACAATATTGATTACCTAAACTTCATTGCATACCCATCACTTGTCAGTATATAGAACAATTAGGTAGATCCAAATCTGGAAATTGCTTATTTGCACCTGGATTTTATTGAACTGTTAGCCTCTACTGTATATAGAAATTGCTAGCACAGCATCAGGAACAAAATAAGGAGACTGAGTTCAAAGATTCATCTTTTTGAACAAATATTTGGTGAAACAGGGACTGACAACAAATTCAATATCCTCTTTAGAATTTTTAAATGTTATCAATATCATATATTGGGGACCTGACTGACAGCAGGTTTAATTATTATAATTCCAGCAGTTGAGGCTCATGGTTTTTCAGAAAGAAAAACACAGAAAGGCTGGCTGCTGCTCATTATCCCCTTTTCAAAAATCCTCACTGCAGGACATCTATTTAATCAGAGCAGAATATATGGTAGTTTAGTGTACAATAATCCAGCATGGCATAAATACAGCTTAACAAAGCCCTGAACAGAAGATGTGGCCAAGAAATAGAAACTCACTCTCTACATAAAAATAACTGTACATGCGAGAACGGATGTTGACATGAAACAATGATTCAGGCAATTGTCCCAGCACTTCAAGCAGTCCTTTCCTCCATCTATCAAATGAATAATTTGTGCAGTGTGTATGGAAAGCTTGGTTGTTTTGGTGTAGACTGTAATTGTTCATGGCTGGTTAAAAAATGTAAAGTGGAAGACAAATCTCAAAGGCCTGCATGAAGCAGTATGATACTTAGATGTTGGGAATATTGAAATCAGTCACATATACAAGTTTATATCCCCTGCAATTTAAACATGTGCTTGCTGTGTTGTGCCTATAATCTATTTATCCCTAAAGAAATAAAGAAAGTCCCAATTAAAAACATTTGGTGAAACATGAGAGAAAAGAAAAAATAAAGAACATTTTCAGAATGATTGGATGACAAATGGGGAACGCTGAAATCTTGAATGTTTCTTATGTTGGGCTCTCACATACATTGTGCTGTATGGTGGTTTCATTTAATCTGTCCTTGGTTATGCTGGCCTTAAAAGAGTTATTAAGCTACATCATCAAGAGCAGATGAGCATCACTCTAAATATTCAGGTTGTTGGCTCCATCTTCATCATCCAACAATGACAAATCCCTGAAAAAGTAAGTGAGTTCTATAGGGCACAGAAGACACAGCCGGCTGCTGATGATCTCGAAAACAAGAAATCCAGGATTCGAACATGACCCCTTTTATTCTCTCTTCCTTCTTATTCCAAGATCTGCTACATGTGACTTAACGAAGCGAGTGTATTCCGAATGGATCAGGATCCGCTTCATCAACCAACGCTGCTCATCAAGTCCTCGGAATTTCGTCCAACAGCCAAAAGTATCAGAATTCTCTTGAGGACGTGCCAAAAAAAGAGCCTGCTATTTTGCTCAGAAGGATGGCAAAGGGTATGGATTTGTTCGGCGGAAGGAAGTTGTACATAGGCGGGGAGAGGCAGCAGTTGAAATCCAATTGATTTACGACAGTGACGTGAAGGGCGAAAAAGGAACCATGCTCTTACATGGGGGAGGACCATAGGAATACCTGAAGCTGACGGGATCGGGAATCGCACACTATCCCGGCGTCCTGAAGGGGCGGATTGTTTTCCGCGAAGAGCCGCGTATATCCGGATGGGTGTGGTACGTCAAAGGACTCTTCCGGGATGTCGGACCAGCTGGAGATACTTGGCTGACGTTTACGGAGTATTCGTGCATGATCACGTTGAAATGTGTACCAGTGAAACTCCAGTCATTGATTGAAGTGCTGTGCATTCGGATTTGTGTTTGAAAGATTTTTTACAATCCACGGGCGGACAACTCCCGAAGAGTCGTGTTCACTGGCTACTCCTGCAGAAAGGGAGCACGTGCGCACAAGCACAGAGAGAGCAAATGGAGAGACGACTTGGAACCTAGGAGAGAGCAGAATGATGAGCCGCTGAAGGATGGGTCCATGGTGGGAGACCCCCGCGGGCCGGGAACCCGGGCAGCACCTCTTCCTGTATATCCACTACCCTGCCATGCACACCCGTGTCCGTACACACACTCACGGCCCTGTATATGTGCTAGGCTTTTAGTACGCTGTGCCATGCTCTCAACGAAGGGAGTGAGAACCCCGTGCATTGCCAGCGGGGAATCGGTGGGGTGGTGCTATACCCACGGGTTCTGTTCGACTCAGTGCTTCTTTGATGCTGGTGAAGCGATATTATTGTGAGGCGCGCTGCTGCCACCGCCGTAGTGTTGGGGCAATTGCCATTCCCATGGTAGTGGCCGCGATTGATTCGAACCCTGGAGGTTTCATTCCGTGTTGTGTCCGATTTTTCAGCCCTTCCTGCATTCTTGTGATTTATATTGGGATTGAGCATGCCCCGTGTGTAAAGAAGGTTTTCGTTTTGTAGTGTTTCCCACAACATGCTGCAGTAATACCCACCTCTCCTTTTGAAGTTCCAATTCCAAAATATCGTATCTTCTTCATCCAGTGCCCCGAAGTTCAGTTTTCCAGGGCGTTGGAAAAGCTTGATGGATGATTTTCTTCCAGGGTGAATCAAAGATTAATGGCTCCCATCCTGGAAGATATGGAAGAGGGGAAATGATCTGTGGCCATCGAATGATCATCTCATTTGTCAGCTTTGTGGATCCCTTTAGCTTAAGGTTCCAAAGGTGTCAAATCCTTTGTCATGGCTACCAGAATTTCTGAGAAGCTTAGTACTCCTTTGTACAGTAAGATTCCATTACAATAAATCTTGTTATGCCAAATTTTTTATTACCGGGAATTATTTTCTTTGTTGGACAGTTTCTCCGTATATACGGACAATGTTTTGAAAATATTAAAGAAATTCATTTTAGGCTGTAATCTGAGTGCAGGTGGACTTTTTCTGCAACAAAACTCAAGAGTCCTCTGTCAAACTGTTCAGGCTTCAAAATATATACTCACGGGTGCATTTGTATAACAAGAATTCAGGTAAATTTCATAGCAACCCCGGGTATAAGAAGGAAAGCCACTTTTTGGAGTTAAATCTCTAAAGTTCAGATACAGAAAAGAATAGTTACTGTTGAATAGGCGTCTTTAAGTGGTGATAAGTCTATTTTATTGACCTGTCGATGAATTATAACAACACTAAACTTTTTTTATGCAGCTGCTGCTTTTTGATGAATTCGGAATTCTGAAAAAGTTCAATTTTTTGTCTGCCATTCACTGAATAATTCCCAGCATTATCTATGCACACCATTGGAGCCACATTTTGTTACACTGAGATTGCAGCCTAAAATGAGTTAGTTCAAATAAGTTTTCATAGCCTAGCTTGCGCCTATGGAGGAACTGCTGCTGCTGCTGGAATCAAGTAATTTTTTTTACTGTATAATAATAAGATACTTTGTTATAGAATTTTACTAAAAAACAAGAATATTCATCTTCATTTCACCAGAGAAACTAAAAAAATATGACAGGCTTCGAATTGTCTGCTTTTTAAGAACCACCTGACAGTATTTTTAACCCACAGAATTTCAGTCTTAAATGTTTGAAAACCATCGATCTGGGATGCAACGACATTTTTTGTTTGAAAAGCTTTATTGGGACAGTGATTGTTAAAGAAAGAAGTGAATATTTATCCAGAGGACATGACCATCGCAAGTTTGTGAAGAATCTTTTTATTGTTATTTGCTGAGTAATGTTCAAAAAATGTTCATTCAGTTCTAGTTCGCTTCGCGGAATGCGATTTACGTTTCTCGTGATCCTTCGGATAATTCTGCTTGCTGCGTTTGGTGAGTAAAAGATCATTGTTCTTCAAACTCTTCGCCAAATTATTGACATACAATGATCGATATCAGGAGATGCTTCGGAAGATGAGGAGCGACTGGTTCGCGATCTCTTCCGTGGCTACAACAAGCTCATTCGTCCGGTGGAGAACATGACGCAGAGGGTGGAAGTCAGCTTCGGCTTGGCGTTTGTGCAGCTAATCAATGTGGTGCGTGACTCTATACATATGTTTCTTTAAATTAAAAAAAAAGCAAAGAAGAGAAGAAAGAGGATGTGAAAAAGTGAATCTCAGTAGCGTAACTGAAGTTATACTCCTGTGTATACCCATGCTGCGGAAACAAGAACGAGAAAAATCAGATCATGAAGTCGAACGTGTGGCTCCGACTGGTGAGATGCAGCATGAAGATTGACCTGGCTTCCGGAACGGATTGAACTCGATTCCCTCACGTCGTGTCTTGTGTATTGCAGGTATGGAATGACTATCAACTCCGATGGGACGAAGCGGACTACGGAGGCATCGGAGTGCTTCGTCTGCCTCCTGACAAAGTTTGGAAGCCCGACATCGTGTTGTTCAACAAGTGAGTTCTTTCGTCCCGTTTTCTTATTTGCTCTGGCATTCACAAAATACATTCGGATGTGTGTAACAGTGCTGACGGGAACTACGAAGTGCGGTACAAGAGCAACGTCTTGATTTTCCCGAACGGTGAAATCCTCTGGGTCCCGCCTGCGATTTATCAGGTAATTTCTGCCTCGGATCAAAAGTGGCTAATCAGATTTTTGTGCAATTTATTTTATTCAACGGATGATGAAATATCAGACGTCATCCATGCGCCTGAATTTCTCCTCATCCCTTAAATTTGTATGTTGGCCGACGAGAGACGAGAACGATATCTTTTCACATGCATGCATGGTCGGTGATTCTAATATGATACCAGGTTTTTTTTTGTGTGAGTCACGATCGAGAAAGAGTGCGCTTTTTGTGTATCGTAATTTGCTTGAAAGTCGATCGTAAATCTGTGTATTACCCGACACAGCTTTACCCGGGTTCCAAGGATCTTTCATGGACTGGTTGTGCGAAGAAAGCTTTTACGATGGGTTGAGCGGGTGCTGGATTTTATACTTTGCCAGGCCATTATATGTATAAGGGACAGGACTGCGTGGCATCTTGCGAGGAGAATGCGTCTTGTGACGTAAAGCCTGAAACCTTCACAACAGAAGAAAAATGAATGATGAAAAAATAGATCCAGAATTTTTTTTTTCATCGCGTGAGTGTCTTATATACTGCCCTGTCAAAACTTGAGTGTAACTTTTCCTGCGAGGAAAAAAAGGCAAAAATGTGCTTTACCGAGACAAGAGGTTTATGTATTCTCTGAATTTTATCTCGGCTTGTGGGAAAAAGTCCGTCAATAATGACAAAATTGTTCTGCGTGTTTCAGTATAAGGATATTCTGGAGATCACCGTTCTTATGTTTTCTTTTTTCAGAGTTCCTGCAAGATTGACGTGACGTACTTTCCGTTTGATGAGCAGACTTGTTTGATGAAGTTCGGATCGTGGACTTTCAACGGAGACCAGGTATGAAAATCAGGTGTAATTAAGCATGAACTGTATGATGTACAGTACTGATATAATGGGCCCTTGTTTATAAAAAACGCAACCTGTTACAAGGGAACAGCTGAGTTGACCTGTTGTTGAGCCGAACCGGATCCTCCCAAGGGTTAACCTATTCTATGTATTCATCAATTTTTTCACCACACCTAAATTGTGTATTCCAATGGGGTCGAAAATGAATTTATGAACATCTGTCTCATGTAATCTGTGTAATATTTTCTGGGATTTGTGGTGTTTTTTCAGAATTTTTGATATATTCTGCATAACGCCATAAAATAATAAAATTGAACAATTTGTATTCAATAGTAAAATTGAAAGATTCTTATTCTGTATTTAAAAATAACGCCATAACTGAAAATGTTTGGCTAAGGGCCAGATTGTGGCATTCACTCCATGGTTGTCTTGGAATTAATTTGATGGAGGTACACATTTTTGTTATATCAAAAATTTAGTTCCCTATATGTCCTCTGACATTATAACAATTCTGGAAATGTTTTCCCTGGATGAAATCAGGAAACGTTTGGGGTGCTAGGTTGAATTTACTCTAAATCTGCTTTCTCATTCAAGATTTGTTTTTCAATTTGCTAAACTTTTATAAATGATTTGGGTTGGGTGAGGAGGGGGTTTGGATGTGGAAATCTTGATTGAACCTTGTGAATGCTGAAAAGCGGCAAGTAAAGTGTTCTGTTCATTCATTCATTCATTCATTAAATGATTCTAAACTCAACTTTTATAAATCATGAGGTGTTCAGCAAAATGGTTGTCAGTCTTGGGACCCACTGTGTAACTGTTGAAATTTAGATTCACGTAATTTTCATGAAATAATGGGCAAATGTGCAAAACAAATCTTTATCAAGACTGTTCATCTGGCACTAAAAATTGCTGAATAAATAATTAAATATGTATCGTGAATCAACAGAATATTTGGTCTATTGAAATTTTTCGAGATCCCCCACCCCCCTTGCAATCATCCAAATTCAAACAATTTCCTTTCCAAATTTCTTCCTGTTCTTGAAGGCAGTAATTTTGAATCATTTAGACTTGTAGAGTATTACTGTACTTGGCTTCCTGGTTTTCAACTTTTGCACCTAAAATATTTCTAAACTGTAAGCCTTCTTTTGTTTGGGGATAGAAAGTTCTTTCATGCAGTTTTACCCCTGTCATGTTAACTTATTATCACATCAAGGCAAGGATGCAAATTTGGGCCTCCATCATCTAGCATCCAATTTCACATTATGCAAATTCAATTGTACATCCTGCATTATTCATGAACAGGAGTCCAACTTTAAAGGATGACTGTTAATTGAATTTGGCAATATACATTGTTGATGACACTAATAGTTACAAATGATACTCTTAATTTCATGATCTGTGCAACCATTTTAAAATGTACGGAAACAAATGGTTTGTGTACTTCTGGCTGTTATAATCAATTTGAAATGCTCAGGTGAAGGAATAAGGATTTCCTGAGAGATCCCCTCTAGATTTCTTCAGCTTCTGTAGAGATCTTGTTCCAAGGTGGAGGATTCTATTTGGTTTTTCTCTGAGAAAAACATGTTATCACTGTTCATTTGGGTGATCCTACTGCTGGATGCATTAGTGACAGGAGCTCTTTCAGGAGACATTCATAAAAGATTTGTTCTCTTTTATAATTCACCATCCTGTGATCTTTCTTGTTTTTGTTTGCACCAGCAACCATGGTATGAACCTCTTTCAGAATTCAGCTTAACATACATTATTTACACTTGAATGAGGATTTCCCTGGGATCTTTGCGACAAGCACTTATCCCTTGATCTTTGAAATCACAATTTTTCTCATCACATAGTTGGACTTTGATTATTTTGAGCATTTGAGTACTGTATTCTAAAAAAAAAAGAGTAAAACACAATATATGTGACTGCTATCCTTTTCTATGTGTTTTTGCACATTTCACCTGGTTCTGGGTTCAGTTTCCGTTGTCACTCAAATGTGTCAACAGATTAGTTCCTGAAAGGACCAACATAAATGTGTCTAAATGTAGGGTGGAAAGCAATTAATTCCACTGCTGAGGGCATTTTCTTGATCCACCAAATTATTTTTGTATGTCCCATTTTTACAGGCCCAAAATTATTTAAAATGGATTATCAAAAGGTATGGTGGAAAATATGCAGTTATTACTGCTGTGAATGGCTGGACAGCAATTATAATCATTGACATGGCCCCAATCAACAACAGTGATGGTTATGGTATGATCCTGTGAATACAGTACTCTTGTCAGTGCTGAGCTTTTGGTCTGTATAGTGGATGAACAGCCTCGATTGAGATATTTCTGCAAAGCTAAAATTTGGAGAGTTTTGTAAATGTTGAAAAGACAAGTCTCATCTGAAGCAAGTCTGATGGAATTTTGCACTGAGAGATACCGTATTTACTCAAGTACCAAGCGCACCTTTTTTCCCAAATTTTAGAAGAAAAAACGGGTGCAAGTCATAAATAAGCGGGTACAACATTTTCAAGAAGTTTTAAAAGTTATGTATGCATTATACTTAATTATAATGGAGAAATTTGGAACAAATATAACAAGAAAACATTTTTGTATTGAAAAAGTTGAAAATTGATCAGATTTTTGTTCAATTCACACCTAAAGTCAAATTTTTTGTTTTTATTTTTGAAATTTTATGGTTGTAGATTCACTAAAAATTGGGGTGCGCGTCTTACTCGGGGATAAGATTTTTGCAAAATTTTCAACTGAAAAACCCCTGTGCGCGCCTTACTTGAGGGTGCGTGGTACTCAAATAAATACGGTACTCCTTTTATTGTACGTAATCGCATTTGCCTCGCTGAACTTTTTTTTTCCAGGTCTCTCTGAAATTGTACAACGACAAACCCTACGTGGATTTATCCGATTACTGGAAATCCGGCACTTGGGACATCATCGAAGTGCCTGCTTACCTGAACGTGTACAACTCGTCCATCCCCACGGAAACGGACATCACCTTTTCCATCACGATCCGCCGGAAAACCCTGTTTTACACAGTCAACTTGATCCTGCCCACGGCGTTGATCTCGTTCCTCTGCGTCCTAGTGTTTTATTTACCGGCCGAAGCCGGGGAAAAGGTGACCCTGGGCATCTCCATTTTGCTGTCCCTGGTCGTGTTCTTGCTGCTGGTGTCCAAGATCCTGCCGCCGACGTCGCTGGTGCTGCCTTTGATCGCCAAGTATTTGCTCTTCACGTTCGTCATGAACATTGCTTCCATCCTGGTCACCGTCATCATCATCAACTGGAATTTCAGGTGAGTTTTTTTTTTTTTTTTTTGCGGCAGCGAGGCTGATGAGAGAGAGAGAGAATTTTTGCAGGACGTTTTGGCGACGACGAATGATATTTATTTTGTTGCGTTCGTGTCGTCTGATGCGAATGTTTATGGACGAAACGTGGCGTTAGGAAGCAGGGCTGGTTCAAAAGTTTTGAGACATTTTTTGCAAGAGAACCAAAGACATTTTGGTTCTCAAAATGACTTTGGGAACCAAAGTTGAAAAAAAATAATTATAATAATTGAAAAAAATAAATAAATTGACTCGCATAGCCCCGTCATTTGGCAACACTTCAGTGCTGTTGAACATACTCTCCACCGATTTCAATGCATTTTTTTCATGCAATAAACCCGATCATATGAAGAATGCGGAAAATCGAGTTCCGTTACTTAATTATAAGCTACTCTTTTTACGGTGGAAATGAGGTGGTCCCTGATCTTGAAATGAAGTATTTTGCTCTGAATGTTTTTTTTTTTTTTTGCATATCACAGTTGAAAAGGAAAGCTTTATTATGTGGGCCCACTTTTCCAGTTCAATTTTTGTAAATTGATCATAATGTGCCAATGAATAAAATTTGAGCACATAGTTTTTGTTTACAAGGATTGAGCTAATTTTTATCCTTGAAAAGATTTCTTTAGTTTCCTCACCTGATGATTTGACAACTTGACGGCATCTGATTTGTCAATCATTCACATAGTTCAGAAGATGTAGTATTCTCTAGATTTCTTGGTTTCCACACACTTGAACCAGCAAAATAATTTTAGTTAGAGGTCTATAGTCAGGGAAACAAGCATTATTTTGTTGGGGGAAAGAAAGAAAAATTACAGGAAATTGTAATTGGTGATTCTGGGACTTGAATTGCTTCTGGAATGAGTTGACAGCATGCTAACCTTGGAGGCAAGGATTCATTTGTCCAATTAGACTTTAATTTCCTTTCAAAGTGCATCAAGTTACATTTGCATTGTTTTTCTCTTTCCCCTGTCAATAAAATTACAGTCAAAAGACCCCCCAGAAAATATGATTTTTTGGAGGTTTCAGGAGGAAAACCTTGAAGTTGGAAAGTGTTAATTACATTCTTTCTGGAGGGGTTCAGACTGAGACTTGTAAGAAAAAAATTGTCATGAAGAGGGAGGTTCAAGTTATTATTGAGGTTCAAGTGTAATTGCTACAGTATTCTGAGAAAGTAGCCATCTTATTTTTGGGTCGCAGTTTAGTCACTTGCTGTCATTTTATAACGGCTTTCTAGTACAGTAGTAAATCGGTTTTCAATGCTGTATAAATAACTATCATCTCAAAATTTCACCACACAAAAATAATGTCAAACTATTGAATTGTAAGCTTTTTTCTGCTTTTCTGCATTCACAAGGTTCCCACAACATTCCCACATCCAAAACCCCCTCCCAACCCAAATCCTTCCAAAGGCATTCAATCTCTTCAAAAGGGAAAACAGCTAGAGAAGTAAGTTGTATGTGGATACCAAAAGAAAAGCAAGTACATCCCACAATGTATATCCGCACAACTGGTGTGAATGCCTACACCCCCTTCCTTCACTAAATTCAAATCCAAAATATCAGTAATAAGAATTACAACCCAATTACTGAACCAAATTTAAAGCACAAGGTCTTCAGCCTGTTCCCAGATAAGGTTTTGTTGAATAAATAATTTGGAGAGAATCTTTGATGATGCATCATATATGGCTAACAGTTTGTCTGGGCCCTCCAGGATTTTAGAAAGGATCTTTTCATTGAATTTCAATATTCCCAGATCCTTTTTTAAGCTCATTCCTGTGGATGTGGAATTATGAGCATAAAAAAATAAGGTGCTCTTGTGATGCATCAACAAATGTATTTATACTGCAGGAATTGCACCATTTAGACACCTTTGAAAATATAATAAATGAATGAATGAATGAACAGGACACTTTATTTTCTGCTTCTCAGTGTTCACAAGGTTCAATCAAGATTTCCACAACCACACCCCCTTCACAACCAACCCAAATCCACTCAATGACATTTAATCACTTCAGAGCAGGAAAGCACAAATTGATAATAAAAATAAAAAGAAAATACAACTGGACATCTGACATGTATGCACACACCCATTCACTCCCTGACATTGGTAAAAAAAAGAAGAAAAAAAGTATAATAAATGTTTTATCAAAGTGTCATGAATTTTTCAAAAGAGCTATGGTATCATATACCAAGGGGATGTTACATGTCAAACTATTGTATAAGGAAGAAAGCACCCAGCAAATGTGTCAGATGATAACATTGAGGGCTAACTCAGAAACCATCTGGAGAAAACATTGGCGATAATTTTTAATGAAACCAGGCAACATTCCACCAGAAAATGGGTAACTTTCCGATCCGCTAAACCCTATTAATAGTGCCTGCGAAAAGAGAATCATCGACCAAACCTTCATTTGCAATTTTTTCATAACCCCAGAGCATCGAAAATTGCAGAGACATGTGCTGAACGCTATGATGCGGGAAGAGAATTGTGCAAGCCCTCATTCGTAATTTTTCCATTCCATTGCCTAGACATGCATATTATAGTCATTGCAAGTACTGTACTGTAAATATTCAACCCTTGATTTAGTGCCACGCCTGCATAGTGCCACAAATTTTACTGTAACAAGTACCCATCTGTTGTGTTGTCAATAAAGGGAACCCCCAATAATTTGCCAACTCACTTAGTGCCAAAAAAATTCCTTGTCATTGATGAAAAATGGGCAAAATTCAAAGAAATGTAGGCCTTTTTCTAGGGATATCATTGAGTTATTTCTGAAAATCACACGTCAATACTCAGGTGGAAACTCAGAATAATTTTGATAATTCTATTTGTGAATTTAGATTGAGGAAACTATTTTTTATTGCTGCATGAAGCATTCCTTTACTGAAATTTTTATTGATGGGAGCTTTCCTCAGTACATTTGCAATTCCTGTGTGATGGCGCACAGGTAAGATTCAAAAACTAGGGACATTTTTCTGAAATTTTCCCAATAAAATTGAAGCATTTTCTTTTTTAATTTTGATATCTTTCAAAGAAATCAATCTATTTATATTCACAAAATTAAAAGAATATTTCAAGTAAATTCACCCTAATTTGTAATCAAAAGCAAGTTGATTTTTAGCTTCCTTTTTCAGAGTGTTTTTTCTATTACCTGTGCATATTCTGCATATTCTAGCAAGACTTACTCATTTTCTTTGCTTTTTGATCTCCTTTTGATACCGAAAGATCAGATTCTATGTGTTTGTTCTGCACTGTTGTTTTCTACAACTTGAAGTTGAGGGAAACCATTTTTAGTAAATTTTTGAGTACTCATTTCTAATTTTTGACAAAAAAGGAAAACCAATAAGCATTGAAGTCCAAGGGAAAATGAGACTCAACCTAGAGACATTCTGACATCAGGACAGTCTATGCATCAACTATGTCTGCATCTTGGGGTCTCACATGTGTATTGAAATACAATTTAACATGAATACATTTGAGCTTCAAAATTATTCATTGTTGTTCTTTCATAAAACAGACTCAGTGGTCTACCAAGTCTGCAAACAAGCTCATTTTGCCTACAGTAAGAACCTCAAATAAACCTTTGTTTCATGCAATATTTTTGGATTTAGTGCCCCCTCCCCCTCTTGCTTGGTGCCACAAAATTTACCTCAACAAATGATGACAATAAATCCAAGTGTCCAGTAAAGTACAGTAATCTAATTGAGAATACATTGCATGCAGACAGCTCTGAAGAAAATAATGGGTACTTCCCTGTCATCTCTGTACCTACTTTCCTGTTATCTCTGTGGGATGTACTTGCTTTTCTTTTGGTATCCACATACAACTTACTTCTCTAGCTGTTTTCCCTTTTAGTCTAGGAATGAGGTACTGAGATAACAGGAAAGTACCAAATACTGTAATGTTAGCATCATGGAACTCAAGATTAACCACAAACACCCCAATAAAAAAAAATATACTGTGCTTTAAAAATCGTCTGATGCATTTATATAAAACAAGATTTCTTCAGCGTCAAAATCCTCCGCGGATATTTCAAACAAGCAGGGACAAATGAGTAAAGTCTTCAGACATCATGTGAGCGGGTTATGGGTCATAGGTTTTGGGACGTTTTTTTTTTTAAAATACGGCTGAAGAAATTTTGCTCGCAAGATACGCAAATGTTTCTCTCATTCCTAACAAAAGTGAATAAATGGGACTTTTCGGCATCCAGAAGAATATTTTTCTTCGTTTTCTCAGTTCAAACCGTTGAGCTGTTATCTGGATGAGCCTCTCAAATGTGAATGAACAATTCAGATTGTAAGCTTAAAATCTTGATTTCCACTTAGAACCCCGAGTACAGTACAGTACAGTATTAATCTTCCGCCTTCTGTGTGCTTTGAATTCTAGATTGGGGCAGCGAGAAGCGGAGTGCAGTAATTAGTTGCCTGTCTATGGGATTTACTGGGACAATGAACGCGTCTCATTCGTCGCCATCTTGTGACGAAATATCACCCTTTTTAAAGCGTGTTTATTCAATTTAACGGGGACTTCTTGCAGACCTAAATTCTTTTTTTTTGTCGCTCTGTACAAGCAATCTTTCATTTTCATCCACTCAGTGTAATTATCTTTTTGATAAAGACTTGAAGGGCAAATTTCTAGGCCTGAGAGGCATGCATTTTCATAATCCACCTGAACACTGGTAGATATATTCTCAGTGTATCCTGGAGAGTGTGGATGGAGAAGAAGAAGAAGAAGAAGAAGAAGAAGAAGAATGAGGAAGGGAGAAAAATTTTGGGACGCGGAAAGAAACTTGATTACTATAAATATACAACTGTCGGCTTTGTCCTGTCAACGTAACAGGGTGGACCAGAAAAATTTGTGAACCAATTTTTGACTTGAAATAGCTCGGTACAAAATTGCATTGTGGCAATGAAAAATAAACAGCAATTCAAAGCTTGTTTAATTCCATTTCAAATGTTCTGTATTTTTATGGTCCCAAGTGCCATGGCATGGTCACAAGAACCATTTAAATGAAAACTTTTGGAACAATTTTCAGGCAACTCCTTCTACTGAGCTGCTGTTCTCCAGAGCTGTTTTTTTTTGCTTAAATGGGTGTAGAACCAGAAATTTGACCAGCAAACAGCATGCTGAGCTGCAAGTGGGAGCACACATTCCTAAAAATTAGAAGGCAGAGCTGAGAAGTGCCAAAAACAAAATAAAAATTGAGCAGTGTCCTATACATGTACAGGGTGGACCAAAACATATTGTGGTCCACTTTTTGACTTGAAATAGCTCCAAAGATAATTGAGCTGTGCTGGCAGTGAGAAAACCCCAAATGAAACCTTGTCCAATTCCCTTTTGAATGGTACATAGTTTTATGGCCTCAAGTGTCATGGCATGGTCACAAAACCATTTGAATGAAACTTCCCCAAAAAATGTGCCAGTCAACTCACTCCTTCCAATAAGCTGCTGTCCTCCAGAGCTATTTTTAGGGATACTTGGAGCAAAGATTAGTAATTCAACTAGCAAACTTCATGCTGACCTTCAAGAGGGTGCACACATTCCCAAAATCCAGGAGGTAGGGGTATGAAGTGAAATTTTTTTTTTTAGCAACCCAGCAGTCATACCAAAGAAATTCACATGCATGGGGTCATAGGAGCCATGAGGCTGGCACCCAGCAAGCTTGCATGGGAATTTGGCAATGAGGCAAGACCTCACTGCTCAATTTCATTTCTTTATACACTTTACCCATCCCCTCCTTTTAAATTTTGGGAATATGTGCACTCTCTTGATGAAGACATCAGGAAGTTTTCTGGTTAAATTACTTGTTGCAGAAATAAATTCATTCTTACATTAGGAACAAGGCTTTTAAAGTCACTGTTAGCACTAAATGCTTGTGCATCAGTGAGATAAGAATCTGGCATGAAGGTTTTTTCAGATTCTAATCACCGAAGAAAAGTGATAATATATCAAGATCTTTCAGTCATGTCAATTTTTATATGAATAAAGAAAATTATTAATAAAGTAAATTTATTCACTATTCCTATATACCCCATTTATCCCTCAAGAAACAGCTTTGGAGAGCAGCAGCTTTGTGGAAAGAGTTGCCTGCCATTTTTTTTATTTTAATTTTGATTCAAATGGTTCTTGTGACCATGCCATGGCACTTGGGACTATCAAACAACATAATGTTTGAAGCTTTTATTTGCTGTTTTTTTTTTTCATTGCCACGGCTCAATTTGCTATTGAGCTAATTCAAGTCAAAAATCGGTTCACATGCTTTTTTGCTCCACCCTGTAGTGTTTACTCATTAAAGTCGTCATTCATATATATTAATCAAGTTTCTGTACAGATAAACAGTGAGACCCCGTATAAGGAAATTGTTCAATGGGGGAACCGTGTTTCACACAAAGAAAATTGTTCCACACCAACAGAATTGTATGGCACAAAAAAGCTCAAATTCCTGCAAGTTTTCAGCATAAACTTTGTAATGCATTTAATAGTTGTGGAAAAATGAAAATATTATGTTTGCCTCCTCTTTCCTCATGTTGCATTCTCAATTTTATGCGAGAAACTATAGGAAAACTCCTTTTTTGCTACTGCTCGTTCACTTTTTTTTTTCTTTTGGCCCACCGTGTATATGTATAGACGACCCGGGATTATATACGCATTCCTCGGATTTTCATTTGTATTCGAAAAGAGGAGAAGCAGTCTTCTGGCGACGACTGGATCCGGATTCGTCTACCGGAGAAAACACGCAATTTGATTAAAAGACGGGGTGCGAGAATGAGAGCGTTATTGCATTTTCCCCACAGGGGGCCGCGGACTCATAAGATGCCCACTTGGATCCGAGTGGTGTTCCTCAAGTATTTGCCTCTCATGCTCTTCATGAGACGACCCAAGAAGACCCGACTCAGGTGGATGATGGAAGTGCCGGGTGGCGGCGGTGCCCCGGGCTACGGAGCGGGTTCCCCGGTCCTGGGCAAGGCCCATTCCATAAACTTTGGCAACTCCAAGGTTGACTTGATGGAGTTGTCCGACATCCATCACCCGAATTGCAAGGTAAAGTGCTGTCTTCTTTTTTTTTTTCTGATCTTCGGAAAAGTGTGTGAAATATAGGAAGGCTGTCCGGGTGTAGTCCAAAGTATCCTCCTGCCAAAAGCCCCCCCTTGGTGCAAAAAGTGGGGATTACAGGTCACCTTGTAACTCTTGATGGTAAGCTGCACCTTTCACCAGCAGGCCCAGCACAAGGCCAAGTACCAATATGTTTGTAAATTGAGTATATAAAGGGATTCTTCACCTGCAGTGGTTATCAGTGATTCTTTGAATGTCAAAGCATCATCACTTGCTGACTTTTTCAAAATCTATGGTTCACCTTGCTGGTCCAATGGCTGGTGCTCTTCAGATCATCAAAAATCAGAAGGGGGTCAGAAGGCATACTACAATGGTTATTTAGAAGAAAATGACATCAAGAGCATCAGTGACAGTGAGGAAGAGGCTGCAGAAGGCAATTTTGAAGATGATTATTCAACAGTCCTTTCAAGGACTAATGAAACCAAAAAGCCCTTCTCAGGGCAAGAAATACTATTATGAAACTTGCATCTAATGAAAAAAGTGGAGAGATTTTTGGCAGGGAGCTTTTGGTTGGGTACCTTTCAACTACCATATAAAAGATAATATTTTCTTAAAGCTGTCGCCATGAATCGAAATTTCTGGCTCTTTCAGAAGTATATTTTTAGCACAATGACATCCGCCACTTTTTCAATGACCCCAGCTGATCACTTGACCCTCATTAAATTCCACCCATTGACATTGCAAACATTTTTGTGCAGATTTCGGAATCGCCCGCGGCACCCAGAGTGAGGTCGAGTTTAAAGCCTAGTTTCCGTCAGACGGAACCTTAATTACTGCATCAAGCCAGCTGGCGCCTGCGACCCCGAGGGGTAGGAGGGATGAAACCCCTGGGTTTAACGACTCGTGGCGAAATCCCGGGTTCCACCGATTTAATCCCGTCCGTCTTCCTCTACGTTAAGGATAAATCTACTAGCAACGCTTAGGGCGCCCGTCCGAAACTGGCTGCTGTCTCATTTCCTCGCGGATTTATCTGCTTTCCTTCATCTCTGAGAAGAAGTGAAATTTTCTGCACAAAAAAAAAACGAAGAGAGACGAGGATCCCCTGGTCCTGGGATCTGATATTACGTTTGGAAGTATTAATGAAAACGGAGAAGGTTTCCAGTTTGGGGATATTTTTGGAGCCGTAGGGAAGAAGAAGAAGAAAGACCGAAGCTTTCTATTTAATCGCTGAGAATGATTGGCGTCATCCGTGTCCCTCGCCAAAAATGTCACGAAAAAAAATAAATCTGCGGGAATTTGTAGAAAGCGAAAGGACATGCCGGACCTTCACTTTTAAATTTCATTTTCTAGCGAACCTTGCGTTTTTAAATTTTAATCTTATTTAAAAACTTTTATTTCAGGAAAAACTGTGTTCTTCCTGATTATTGAGAACTTTTTTACTCTATAGTCTTCATTCTATGTTGTGATAGCAACCCTTGATATTTTTTTTTCAAAAACAAATTCATTAAAGAGTTTCCTTTCTTGGGATCTGCATATTGAAGTCAGGTAACCTGTAATAAATCAATGGCACTCTTAAAAAAAGGCTTATCAAATAGGGACTATAAATCTTAAAGAAGACCTGCATGAGGCATCATTGAAATGTTTTTGTGGATACTCTGTAAGACATATTTGTAGACTATATCCAGAACATGGTTCCTCAACCTGTAGCCCTTGGACCAGCGCAGGTATGGAGAACTTTTTTGCTGGTCCATTTTCAGCTTAAATATTTGAAAGACAATGGCAGTTGAAATAACTGAATGAATTATAAAAATTGGCTTTCTCCTAATAACACTTCAGACACTTTTTCACCTTTTGAAATGATTTATTTGAATACTTCATGCTAAGAAACCTTTCTTCAAGCCCATCACCTTTCTAATTTTTCAAAGACCATCCGCTAAAGCTGCTTGAATGGTTCTGCATTGAATTTTTGAAAAATACAAAAATGTTGAAATACCTACCATAAAGTCTTTAAAATAAAAATTTTTTGAATCTGCAAAAATTTTATGAAACTTCATAGCTGGTATGCATGACCTTCTTTGGAAATTTTCCAATCAACAAACAATTTTATAGAAATTTGACAGTCCTTGGGACCAAAAGGCTTTTCACTGTTCACTCTTCTAGAACACTCAAGAAGCCAGACAAATGAAATAAAGAGAAAGAAAAACAAGTAAAATTTTCAATGAAATGAAATCTACATCACCATTTCAAAATGAATGCGTTGAGATTCACAGAAGGAAAGTGTCACAAATCTTTAATGAACTTTGAGGTTTCTTTGATTTTCAATCTGTATCACAATCTTCCCTGTCTCAACAAAAAAAAAGGTCCAAAAATTTGAAGCCTTTTTCATTTGCAGAACTTAGCTTGTAACCTTTTTGCGGGTTAGACTGCCTTCAAAACCGGATCCCGAAAGAACCTCTTTCTCTTCAAAAGAAACCAGGGGAAGAATAAATTGGATCCGCATCAAACTTTCTCAGCGGATTTCTTTTCAAGACGACTGATCTAATCGTCCATAACTCCGAAAAAAAAACGGCCGAAAAAAGTATCCTTTCGAGAGCTTCGTTTTGTAGTAACTATATACTCAGCAGTGACTCAAGCCGGAAATTTTCTATTTAACCCATACAGTCACACATGGAAAAAAAAAACAGAAATCCACCCCTCACAAGCAGGAAAAAAAATGAAACCCTGGTCTGATTATAGAGAACAGTATCTTCTACCGAAATCCGAGAACATTTTTCCGGGAAACCCGAGTGGAAAAGGGGGGACAGAAATTCTCCTCTTTTTTTATTCCTTTTTTTTTCCCCTGGCAATCAAAGGGAAGTCTTCGCGGGTCCCGTCAATGACATCCGTATAATTAAAAGTGATTTATTCGTTCTAAGATGGAAGAAAGAAAGATGTCGGCGACCATCATTTCCTGCATGGAGACGACGACCATTGTCTCCGAAAAAGTCTTTGTCTACTTTGTTTATATGCTCACAAATTGACGGTGGGGAGGTTTGAACAACTGTGGATAGAGGGGGGGAAAAGCCTTCGATTTTATTGATCCCTGCTCTTCTAGTTTCCTCGTCCTTTGCTGCTCTTTTATTTTCCACTCTTGGTGACATCAAGTAACTCTGGAAGGATTTTCAATGAACAAAAAGAAGTCTTCGTTTATTATCCATGCACAGCACATTAAGGAAAAACGACTCGTTTTTAAGTTTTTGTAGGGCGAAAAATCCCTTTTTTTTAAAATCCCAGAATAAAAATGAATTTACGATCGAACCGCGTTGGCAATCATGAACGGTTTTGGTTTTTTTTAACCGTATCCCTTTTATAATAGGCAACTGAAATGTTTCAAGCGTGTTTTGAAGATTTAAACACATCTTTGTTGCGGAAAACACGTGTTAACGCATTATGAATTTAATTTGCTGAAGAAAGTGCTAATTGTAAATTTTATGCTTCCATATTTATAATTCATTCATTGAATAGAAATTTCCATTGAAAATTGAGTTTTTTCCGTTATTAGCTCCAAAAATATGTAAAATTAGGAGCATTTCTGAAAGCTCAAAACTGTCAGGATTGATGCAATTGAAAATGCTAGTACTTTTGAAACTCTTGAAGTTATACTAATACTGTAGCTTGTCAAATAAATATATTTTACAATCCCATGAAAAAATTTGATAAATACTAAAATCTCCTGTCTATTTTAACGCATTATAATTGTGAAGTTGTGGGTTTGAAGAACATTTTAACTTAAGTATAATTCTGCAATTAACATGTATACAGGTATAAATGCCCTGCAAATCAACCCTATAATCCATCGGTGGTTAAGGTTTGAATTGCAAAGCAGTCAAATTGCAAGATAATTTCAAATTTTATGTTTTCTACATCAATTTTGATGTTTTGAGTCCCTCTGTATGTTGAATTGCAGGGCAAGAGGTTGAATTGCGAGTCAGTATCACAGCAAATGTGACCATGAAATTGCAGGATAGTTGAATGGCAGAATTTCAAATTGCAAGGTACCACCTGTGCTTGACTATCATACATTTTCTGGTCCTATACTAAAGTTTCAGTTTGAATATAACTTGCAGACATAACAATTCCCAATTTTAAGCACGTTACAGTGTAAAAATCACAGAATTTTTTACTTTGAAAAGCTGCAAGAATGAACATTTATACACAGAACAATTAGAAAATGTGATTTATTCCTGTTTGGCTTTTTTCATATTTCCAGCTTTCTATTTAATAATAAAAATGTAAAGTTTCATACTATAAATTTTGGGTTAATTTCATTGATCTGCAAAAACATGGGGTGTTTGCAGCAATACATTCACACAGGTGGTACCATGTAATTTGACCTCCTGCAGTTTGACGATCCCAATATTTGACTGTTGAATTTGCAAGGAGGTTGACTTGCAATTCCACCCTTGCCTGCAATTCAACGTGCTGTAGCCATTTTCTTGTGTTTTTGCATTGATATTTTTTTCAATACCATGAAGTGTCTGGCAATATGACCACTTTGCAATTCAACCCTAGTTTAGCAACAGATTAGGATCAAATTGCAAGGTACCACCAGTACCCCAAAGATTACTCTGGTTTATTTTATTTTGTTTACTTTGATTTTTATGCAGGTTCCTAATGATTAGACTCACTTCCGTAAATGAAATGTAGGCACTATTAAATTCAGAAACATTCAGATCTATGGAAAAACCCAAATGAAAAGTTATGTTGATTATGTTAAAAAAAATCAATCCCAAAGTTTGAACTTGAAACTTACTCCGAAATGATTCCCGCTTTCTTAATTATATATTTTGAGGGAAATCATATAATTGCATCAAAGTTCGAAAAAAACGAAACTCGCGCTGAAGTGAACCCCTTTAGTTTGGTAAGATTAATTTAATGAAACATTGTTTATCATCTCGCAAGCTACAGATAAGACGCAGAATCATTTGCTGGGCTAATGAATCTCTCTGATAAGCTCCTGGACAGGGTACTTTGAGAAACTGGGAACTATTCTTGGGGTTCTGGTGCAGAATGAGAGTCTTTCTTTGTTTCTTCTTCATGCTTGATGATAGCTGCTGCCTGGAGAAGAAGTCCCATGAATTTCGCGGACTGTGTGTGCTTTGACATCCTGTCAAATCCAGCAGGTTTCTTTTCCTACCTTTTTTACCCATTTTTTCCATGGGCACGGAAAATTGTAATCTTCAAGGTCATACTTGTTCCCCGTTTAGAGCTTCTTCATCATCCCGTCAAGATAAAAGGATATTTTTTTATGAATGCTGTACTCAACAACCCAAGTCTTGAAGAAAGACTTTGGCAGTTTTCCAAGAAAATCCGCTTCAAAATTGCAATTTCACGCGAGCTTTGACTTTAAAAAAGGTTTTGTTGTTCAATTATTTCTCGTTTCAATTTTTCCGCAGGTGACCCAGCTCCATCCTTGACCTGGTGGCTGGGAAGTAGTTTGCTGGATGCGTCCTTCACAGAATCCCCGGCTGGAATTTACAAGAACAAGTTGCATTTGCAGTCAATAAAAAGGCAGGACTTGTTGTCTGTTATGACGTGTCAAGCCAGCAACAACAACTTGAGTCTGCCTCAATCAGAAATGATCACCCTTGACATGAACTGTGAGTGATTTAATGTTTTATTCTGTTTGAATGTTTGGATCATGTAATTGGTGCATATATCCAAATCCAAACACAGATATAAACAATATAATGATAAAGAAGGAATGAAAAGAGACCATTGATTCTTTCCAGTGAAGGTTGAATGAAGTCTGCTTTTTCAATTGAAACTAAAGCTTCAAGAAGAGGAACAA